GGGCAGGTGGATATCCTTCTTCATGAAGGGGCTGTTTTTTTTACCGCTAAATAAAAGTTTAAATGTCAAAACATCGCTTATATCTACATAGACCCTCATTCTCTGTTGCTCTGTTTCAGGACACTTGGGAAATGCTTGTTTGGATGAATTGAGGATCCTGTGCTTTCTCTGCTCTCCCTTTCCCTCCCTTGCCATCTGGTTTAAAGTTGCTTTTTCACTTGCGGCTTTTTGGTGTGAATTTGGTGTGAAGTAGTGTTGGTACAAGTTTTTCTCTAAGAAGCAAAAACAGTTGTAGTTTTTTCTGCCCTGTCACTTCCACTAGCGACTGTTGCTCTGTCTTGCAGAGAAGGCATCACAGGAGTTTAAAATGGCCTGTTCTTTTGTTTAATCTCAGTTACCATTGGCTTCTTATTTATTTGGCCTAAGATTGTCATGAAAATTTATAATTTGGAGGAATTGCTGCCAACTTTTACTTTGTGTTATTCTTTCTTTAGTAGAGAGAGAGAGATCTAGGTATATTGCCTGATCTTGCTTTTCCTCCAGACAGTCGGGTGTATTATGGTCTGCTGGGAGGGAAAAGTATTTTCATTAAATCATTTTATAATGATTTCTCTGTTGGTTTTCATGACTAACAAAACAAATGATAAACAATTTCTAGCTCAATGACTGTAATGTTTTTGTAAATGCCAGTGTCTGTGTGTGCTGGAAAAGGATTTGTCTCCACACTTGATTCTTCTCTTAAAAGATTCGGATTAATACTTAAGTGTTTACTCAGATGTGGTGAGTTACAAGTGGATGAAATTACATTGTTGTCGGATTGACTCATCGTCCTGCTTCACTCCCCTGGTTGAGAACGTTGACTTCCAGCTCTGAAGAGTTTGCTCACTCATGTCATCTGTGTAAAACTCAGGTGTTTATCTCCCTTGTTAGAGATCTAAAGAGTTTTGATAGCTGGGTTTTGAGATGCCAATCAAGGAGAAGAGGTAAAAAAAAAGACCAGGACAGCTGGAAGGAAAGGAAGAGCAATACCTGTCTCTCTGACTTACTTATGACAAGCTTCTTGCCAAAAAAGATGTGCAGGGTCATTAAGTGAGATGAGGAGAGTGGGGAATGTTTTAGGATTTATCAGCTGGCAAGCAGTTTGAAGTGCCCTGATGCCACGTAAAGCATTGCCCCAGCAGCTGGAGCATGTGGCAGTGAGAGACTGTCTTGGTGTGAGTGTATCTCCCAGGCACTCGCTGCACTTTAGTCTCCAGGTCTTCGTGCCTTTTATAATCAATGGTGAGTGTTGCTTGGTGGCAAGAATGTGCTGCACCCTGGTGTCTCCCTTCACTCTGTAGAAAAACATAAAAATAAGAAGTGCTTCTCTGTAAAGCTTTTTCTCATTCTGTTGGTTGAGAAATAACAGGACTATGATTGTTAAAAGTAGGTTTTATTTTGTAGTCTTCTCTAGACTCATCTCACTTTAATCTTAGGAAGAGTAGACTGTAGAAGTGTGGGATTTTGGACTGAAGGCCTCTAGGAGCCTCATCTATATCTCTTTCTGAATACTTCTGCATAATTCTAAGAGTTTTCACGGCAAACTGTTCCTTGCTGTACTCAGCATTTTGCTAAATACTGTTCATTCCCAATAGCTAAAATAGCCTGAACACCATGAGGGCTTCTTACTAACCTATAACTATCTTAATGCCTTTCTTTCCACAAGGATAGTTTCTTTTAGTAAAAAGCCAAAAAAACTGCACACTGAAGAATGCACACCATGGACTTTGCCAACAAACCACTAATGCAGCTTCTCTGCGAAAATGGAGTGGTATTTACAAGGCTGGCTTGCTTTGGGGAAAACTTCCAGTGGAAACTAGTTGCTCTGAAAGGAAAATACGGTCTCATGGAGGTGTTTGGCTGGGTTTGGGTGCTTTCTTGTACCTTAGGTGCACAGGATCTGCAAACTACTTGTACCAAAAGTCTGTTTTCTAGTAAAAGCTCTGTCGCTTTGAACGTTATGGAACTCTGAAAAGAGGCGGTGGGGATGGGGAGAGGACTGTCCTGCTCACGGACCTTGGCGTTGCCAGTTCTGATCACATGAGGGTCAGTTGTGTTTGGATACCATTTGGTGGCGAGCCTGCCTTCAGAGTAACAGTGTGCTGTGCCTGCTGTTGAACAGTTACCGGCTGAGATAAGATAGGAGAGATTTGTATCTTTGAATCCTGAAGAAATGAAAATAAGACTCTGAGTCTGGTCCTAAAGCTGAAGATCTTGTCTTAATTTCTTGTTGGGAAGCTAAAGTAAGGTTGACTTGACAGTAACACGGGATTGCAGACTGGGGTTGGGGGAGGAAGGGAGAAAAGGGATGTCTTATCTGCTCTTTGCAGACAAGAGCTTGTTCTTATCTGTCCAGGTGACTTTTAGCAGAGATTAAGGAAAACAGCGTGTATGTTTCTGTGAGCAGAAACAAGCACGTTCCCTTGGCAAGAAGAGTTCAGGAAATTTGTCGTGGGGCCCTGTGTAATGCCACGGTTCTGCTGCTGTGGAATCGGTCTTGTAAATCCATAGCCCGAGCTCGGGAGAGACCTGATCGTGGTGTTTCACCGCTTGCATGGAACAGGCCAAAGAATTTCCTGCACAAACTTTAAATATATATCTATTAAGGCACAGGGGTGGTTCTCCCAGTTTACATTTCTGAATTTAAGCTTTCCCCTTGCAACTTAATCTAACTCAAATTAATATAAATGCAGCTTTATAAAATTATTTCATTGCTGGGGAGAAAGATACTTGTATGCACTTACGACACCTGGAATGGTGGTAGGAGGAGCCTTGTGGGATAACACAGGCATCTTAACCACTGCTTTGTAGCCCTGTTAAATGTCTACAACTGGTCTAAATAAACATTTACATTGCATTTTATAGCTCTGAAGAATATATGCTGTTTTCCCTGTGTAAGAATTGTGAAGCTAGAAATTTTACCGCACTACTGGAAGAATTGATCTGTCACTCATTCAGCTCCTCACACTGTCAGCTTTGGAACTTGGAGATGACAAACATTGGCACAAGTACTGGTTTTGCAACAGAAACATCCGTTACACTTACGCTTTGCCTCGCAGACACCTTTTGGTGGGTTGTGAGGAAAGCCTGTCCTCGGCTCTCCAGGGTGCTGCAGCTTTTTGCCTCTGATCATCTCTGATGTGGTTACAATTGCCAACAGAGAAATTGCTGGCAGACTGAAAATGTGTGGGCAATGTCAGACGAACTTTTATTTCAAAATGCACACAGAAGACCCTGCTGATTTGATTGTACCAGTTTACGTTTATTCTTAATTTCTAAAAGTTAAGTTATGACCTTTTTTTTTTTAATTGGAACAGAGCAGACACAGAATCAACAGATTGCTGCCCTTTCAAGCAACAACAGTCAAGGCTAAGCTCATGTCATGAAAGACTGTCTGGGCTTTGTCATCTCTAAAGACAGCCAGGAGTTGTCTAAAGACAAAAGAAGTTGCACTTGTAGTCATGTTCCAGTTCCACAAAGACCTATGCAAACTGTATTTAGCTTGTGGGGGAATAACAACCGTATTTATTTCTTGAATAACACCAAGAATGATAGTCCCACATGTTTCAGTGCCTAAAAAATGAGGTGTTTTCTCTGTGTTTTCTCTTTTAACTTCCTCAACGGCAGGGTGCATGGTGTCCATGTCACATCAGGGGCTTGCGAGGGCTTCGGGGTGGTTAATCGGAATCTGACAAGGCCATGCGGAGGCAGGGGAGCAAAGTGAGCTGGTCATGAAATGGGGCTGGATGGGTGGGAAGAAAGCTGTGCTCTTACACGTAAAAGAGTTAATTATGGCTTGGGGAGTAGAAAGAGTTTCCTGAAGCTGAGCACTGGTCTAATTAGAAGCACTGTGCAGATACACAACATTTCTTTGGCTGGTTATCTCTCTTTTCACCTCATGCTGATGATGTAGTGGAGAAGAGGAGATTTTGCTTTACATCCTTCATGTGCAGTTCAGTTACACAACTTTTTTGTTTGTTTTTTTTCCTCCTCTCTCCTTTCTCCCACATCTCCGTTCTCCAAACTGCCAACTTCATCTACTGCTCGTATTTGTTTGAAGTGGGAAGATTTCGAAGTACAGAAGCCTTGCCAAAGTTTTTCTGTGGTTTTTATCCAAGCTAACATCTTCTATTTCTGTGGTTTACTTGGAGCTGCATATTCATCTGTATGGAGATGATGATCAGAGTGGAAAATACGGGCATTTCATATTTTGCCTAGCAATTACTTCTCATTCTGTAGACAACAAAACAAACATAGAAGTTCTGCTTACTCTCAAACTATCTGGTTGTCACACCTCTTTTGCAGAAGCTCTCTGTTGTGTCCTTTTTGTAATGGACTGATAACGAGTGGTTTTATTCCCTTGCACAACATTTCTCAAAGCATTGTGTTTGTCTGTTCATCTTTTCTTCCATTGTTCATCTTTTGTTCCTTTCTGGTGAAATAGTTTTCTCTTTCTCCAGTTTCTACTATTTTATACGGGCTGAATGGCTAACTGTATTTAAAGGTATTTGTAAAATGCCACTGGCAGAAGAGTTTAGGCACCTCTGTTCTTGTATCTCTGCTAACTGAAATGGGAAGAGAGCCCATGCTTGTATTTCTGGCCGGCTGTGTTGGGTCATTATTTAAGGGGCAAGATGGGAAGGGGGGCTGCTATTGAAAAGTCTGGAATGTTTGCCCAGATTTGCTGTTAATGGGATAGGATTTTTTCACCCTTCCCTTCTTTGTCTTGCTCTTTTCCTTTCTCTTCGCTTTGCAGGGCTGCTTCAATTCCTGCGTCATCCTTCAAGCATGTAGATGTCACAACCTGATGCTGTGGGGAACTACTACTTCAATGCTGACTCTTCGCTTTTTCTGCAGGCTGAGTCATTGGTTTTGGAGACTCGTTGACATCACTGAGATTGAGACTTAGACCTTCAAGAGAAGAGACTTTCTGACGACCCTGCTCCTCTCCACCCGACCCTATGACTGGTGGGTTCACTGTAGCTCCATCCTTTGCTCTCCAGTTCCACAAGATGGGTTCATTCAGAAGGCCCCGACCTCGCTTCATGAGCTCTCCGGTCCTCAGTGACCTGCCACGGTTCCAGGCAGCCCGGCAGGCTCTGCAGCTCAGCTCCAACTCTGCCTGGAACAGGTGAGCAGGACCGACCTGGGCTGGGCTGTTGCCTGGCAGCAGCCCCGTGAGAAGGGCCCTTTGTGCTTCAGACCATTTACGGCTAAACTCATCCATTTATAAGCATGCATGAATTTTTGGCAAGCCCAAGCTTTTCCGGCATTGAAAGCCCCCGAGAAAGTGAGAAAATTAGACCTAGTGGTGTTCAGCCTTGTTTTTGGCCAACATTGTTCAGAGGTCTTGAAGTAAGACAGAGTTGCTCTTTATTAACAGTTGCATATTTTAAGTACCATTTAGGAAAACACATTCCCAATATTGTAATAAAGGCCAGTTTCCTAATGCACAGCAGGCATTTATTTGCATATTGTGAAGCTTTACCGCCGTCAGGTTCCTCTGACAACTGCTAAGCTTGTGGCTTCTAACAGCATTTCCTATTGACAGCCAAATCCTGTTTGCGGTGCGTGTCATGCAGCAATGGCAACTGGAAAAACAATGTCTAGGGTGAAGAGTGAGATGTCCTGATCTGATCTAATGGTCTGCTGCAACCAAAAGTGGGTGTTCCCGCTTTCCCTTCTGCCACCTTGCACCAGCTCTGCGCTCTGCAGACCCCTCTCTCTTGCTGACCTAGCTCGGCTTACCAGTGTCGCATAAAAGTAGTCTGGCAAAAATGTCTCAGTTTTGGGCCAGGATAATGAGCTGAGGTCCACAAAGCATGCAGGTGCCATAACCAGCCCACAGAAGGGAATGCCACCTTCTCTTGTCAGCCATGGCAAGCCTTTAGACCGGCTAAACCATCTTGTATGCTGTCACTTCGTGACTCCCTCTGTGCTGGTGAGAGAAGTAAGAGTCAGAAGATCCTCCAACAGCATCTCACAGGCATTAACAGGGCTTAAAGTTGGGTCTGACTGAGGTGCTGCTGGCTGCAGAACGTCTTCCAGCACAGCCAGTGTTCTGCCAGACGCTGCGGATTGAGTGGTCCCTGCTAGCATCGCTGGGTAATGCCATGTGATGTGTTTGGCAGATATTGCCAAAAATCTACGTCTCCTCATAGCAGCTAGCCTGCAGCACACAGCAGAGATCCCCGAAACAGTCCTGTTAAAGATGTGTCTGGTGTGAACACGTTCTTTGTGAACAGTGCCCCTGTAACGACTTTCCCTCGGTTACTCTAGGCACAATTTCAGGTTGGTTCTGCTCTGTCTCCCATGAGAGATGTAGGCAAATAGGGGTGATGATTTCCAGGGGAGGAAGAGTGGAAGTATTTAAGTGCAATTAACCTCTCCGCCCCATTATAATCACTTGGCTTTTGGCGGCTAGCTGACATTGCACTCTGTGTTAAATCAGACTGGTGGCTGTTATTTATGGATGTTGTACTGTCTCGTTTCTTTTTTGGCAGCGTGCAAACAGCAGTGATAAATGTGTTCAAAGGGGGAGGCTTGCAGAACAATGAACTTTACACTCTCAATGAAAATATCAGGTAGGTTGCTGAAATGCATGAAAAGGGATTTCTGTTGCTGCTTGTTTGGCATTTGCTTGGTTTTGTTCCCCTGCAGAACCACAGTTGTAGGATATTGGTGGGAGGAGAAAGGACTGAAGCAAATTTCAGCACAGCTTTGGAGTTTCAGGCTAACTTCCTTCTTTTCTGCTATTGTGTGGAGTGAATGGCATGAGGCACTTGGGTAATGTTTCCCCGACCTCTGTGGATGCATAGCTTTCACAAGGACAAGATGTGGTGTATCTACTTAGATTATAAGGATTTTGTCCCCTCCTAAGAGGTTTGCCTCTATGTGCTGTTTTTTACACATATTTATCAGGGCATTCGTGATAGTAGCAATATCTCTTTTCTAAACCCAAGCTTCTCAGAACCATGGAGTGTTTAAAATGAAAGCAAAACACAGTACTTTATTTAAAAGCTTAATCTTCACATGATAATTGCAGACCAAGACCTGAAAATACAAACGCTAAAGATAAAAAACCTAAAAGCCTAACAAACATTTTCTAACACTGATGTTAGTGATGATTAGAAGTATCATTTTTTTTAAGCAGGTTTCATGATTATCTGTGGTTTCATTCTGATTATTTGGAAAGTTTGGTTAGCAATAGATAGGACTGTAGGGTAGATAAAGAACAATTTATTCTTGCCTTGGTTCCAAGTGCTGCTGAGAGGAGCATTGTCAGAGCTTGTGGATGTACTTCCTCCTCCCTCTCTCTTTCCTGCTACATCCGTATTCATTCATCATGAATGCTGTCATATAGGTCTCCACTTCTCCTTTCATATGCCCCTTCCCCCACTGATTTTTCCCGAGTGCTGAGATTCAAATGGCAATTTGGGCTAAGCACGTAACAAGAGGCGGTTTAAGCTACCCCTTTCCCTACCCCACTGATTTTTCCCGAGTGCTGAGATTCAAATGGCAATTTGGGCTAAGCACGTAACAAGAGGCGGTTTAAGCCACCCCCTTCCCTACTTTCAAAATAAATGCAACTTGCAGGGCACGAGATGCTGTCCTGCTTGGTCTGGTCCCAAAGGTGAAAGTTCAATACAATTCCTTTCAAGAGCGGAATGAGGGCAGTGTCTCATGCTTTAATGGTATTTTCGTGCGCTCAGATCAGAAGTCCTCAAGTTAGGTTTAAGCACTTGGAGCAGTCTTAATTCTCCATGGGCTGAGTATTTCTGTGTGTGAAAAGGAAGACAAATGTTGTAAGGCGTGGGAAATACCCTAACCCACAGCCTGTTGGCAGCGTTGGGGACCGGCTTTGGGTTTTATGACTCGTCTGCCAGACTGTTGCCTGCTGTGGTGGCTGCAGCCTGCTTCCCCCCCCTGGCGCAGGCAGGCGCTCCTTCCCACCCCTGTACGGAGGCAGGGTGCCAGGCAGAAGAGCCGTGGTGCCTGGGCTTGGTCCCAGTGGCTGGACCGTGCTCTCTTCATGCTGGTTACTGAAGTGGAGCTAGACTGCTGAGAGCCGGGCGAAGAACAGGCAATTCTTGGTCAATTGTGTATGCTTCGTAAGCAGCTCTGGAAGCACTCACCTTGAAATACGTGATTAACGTTCCTGCAGGCGCCCTGAGCGTTGGTTACTTCTCCAAATGTCCTTCTCTAAATAGGCCACTTTAGCATTCAAGTAGCTCTTTAATGTGTGTCTAAGGAGCAAAGGACATGCACCTGCAGGTATGTTTGTCTGCACACCTGCAGCCTCGCACCTGTGACTCTTGATGTAGCTCCCAATGCAGTGTTAGCTTGGTGTGCGTGAGGTGAAATTCGAGCTTGACACCGGCCAAAGAGCCGGACCTGTCAGACGGCCAACTCTTGGTGTGCCATTAGGTCGAGCTGGTGCATTTTCCTCGTTCATAGTTCTCCGTTCAGCTCCTGGGTGGAAGTTAGCAAATGCAGTGCGTTTCGAGGCTCACAGATTGTGCGCAGTGCTGTTATTTGACAGTGGGAAATGCAGTGGAGTTTAAAAGTAGGACACTAATGACAAGACCAGGAGATGAGCAGGTGGTAACGTTTTGCTCTGGATTGCTGCCACCAGGTTTTTGTCTTGCTGTGATTTGATATCATTGCACTGGATAGGATGCTTTTTTTTTTCTTTTTTACTGCTCTGAAAGTCAGTTGTCACAGGAAGAGGAAACGTAAGAGATGCCCTTGGGAGATGGGATTTCAGGAAACAGGAGGTGACCTGGCCGTGGTTAGGAGGAGACCCCTCCCTTGGGTTCTCTCCGGGGTGCAAGCCCCCGGTTGCTGGTCTACCTGCATGAGTCGAAGTCTTGCCGTGGGCTTGTCAATCCGCCGGCAGAGAGCCCCGGGGACTCTGCTGAAGCCGGTGGAAGAGCTCCTGGCAAACGGGCCCCCAAAGACGTCTGTGGTTTATCCGCCTGATGGAAATAGAAATGTGTTTTGAGGTGGGCGGGGTGAATATAACCACGCTGAGAGAGAAAGAGTAAAAGCATGCTGGCATGCAAATAAGTGTAGAAGGGTTACAAAATGGTTAGGGAGGAGGGTTGCTGCCAAAACAGACTTTTAGCAAAGATTAGGAAAAAGTGGTGTAGTTTGTTAGTAAGAACCTGGCCTGAGAAGTGGGTGGTCCCTGATTCAAATGCCATTTCTGAGCTCTCTTGATTATACTTCACATTGGTCTAAAGCGAAACTCCTACAGCAGCAAAAAACTGCAGTGTTTTGCAGTAGAAAGTGTTGGATGCCCTGTAAATTTTAGGCAGAATTTACTGCTACAGAATTTATGCTCACAGTCGTTGAAAGCTGAAAGTGCAAATGCTGTGAGCTTTGTGAGACCTTTTTTTTAATGATTCTTCTGATGTAAAACAATCCTGATTTTTATAACAGAGTTTTGAAATATTAGTATGTATTAAAATTTAAAACTTTTATCATGGCCTGATTTAATATCCAACATTTTAATCAGAAACACTTGCTTAGAGTGGCTTCTGCCCTGAATGTATTTAAAACACCTCTTGTTAATTTTCTAGAATTTCTTTCTTGAAAAATGTACCTTCTTTTTTTTTCTTAATGTCGTAGTTATGGGGAAGCTGCAGCTTCTGCTTGTGTGTTTACTTCATTGCTTCTTTCCTTATCCTCCCACCTTTGACTTCCAAGAGAAAAGGAAGTACAGCATTAGCGAGATATGCTATTTTCAGTGAAATGAAAGGTGTCTTTGTTTAAATAAAAAGCAGAAAAGATGATGGATTTCAAACTAAATAATGTTACATTGTCTCCCCAACTTTCTGGGGGTAAATGTTTTGGGGTTTTTTTGCTCATTCTAGGTGTATGGCTTCTCAATAGAGGACTTAAGGGAAACTGTTTCATTCCTTCATAATATGAGAGTAGCCTTTGTGGGCATTTGTAGAATATGTACCTAAAGGTAAAAGAAATCTTAACTGTGGCCATAATGACACATTCACATACACTCACATGTCTTTGGTATGACTGGTAGTAAAGTGCAGATAGACCTGTAAGAAATGACCAGCAATGGCTGTTACTTTATGGCTGCATTCCTTCTGTCTACAGACGGCTGCTGAAGAGTGAACTGGGATCCTTCATCACAGATTACTTTCAGGTATTACATGATTTGCTTGCTTTCTTTTGAAGTTTGCTCTCTTCAGCTTTCTAGCCTATAAAAACATTAGGACCGCCTTTTACATGCACATAGACTACAAGTTTTGTATTTGTTTTTGCTACAGGAGATGATGGAGATACTGGAATTTTTTAATGTGGGCCGTATAGACTTGGGAGTAGTCATATTTATGGGCGTATGTGCTAAATTAAGGATAATCTTCCTTTGCACTTAAGAAAGGCTGCTAGTGGCCTGCCAAGGTCAAGAAGGAATTAACCTGAACTTTTTAAAGAAGATGGGATAACTTTTCAGAGTTTTTTTCACCCTATTTTTCTAGTGTAGAGAATTCAGGAGTAGGTTTTCTGCAGCAGAGGCCAGGAAAGGGGAAGAGAAAAGACAATGGCTGTCTGTTTTGGGGGTGGGAGGGGTGGACAGCGAAGGAAGTCCCTTTTTTAGCAGGAAATCAACCTGGGGCCTGCTTGCCTGTTAGTCCCACAAATATAAATGCAACCTACGAAAAAGCAAGAGATGAAGGATGAGGGAAGACTGATCAATCACAAATGTGAATAGATGTTATTACCTTTTGCTGATATTGTCCAGGGAGACAGAGGTTCAAGTATAACCACATGAAAGTGTGTTGGATGATTTTGAGAGAGCACTGATGGCTTTCAGTGTTGTGAGTTGTTCAGTGTAGTGTTGATTTTAAAAAAAAGGAGGTGGCTGCTGAAAGCAAGAGGGGTTTTTTCCCTTTGAGTAAGAGAGAGAGAGAGAGAGAGAGAGAGAGAGAATTTCAGTACTTTATGAAGCGGCTGATGCTGCTGCCTACTGTGCTAACAGCTTAGAAAGGGGAAAAAGAAAACTAGTGTTGTTTCTTATCAGTATTAGATTACGTGACTTAAAAAAAAATTCCCCGTGCTGGGCTATCAAGTGAGAAGCAAACTCCTGCCCCAGGGGTAGTTATGTTTCACTTCTTCAGACCCTGTCTGCACAAGTCGTTTACTGGAAAGAGGCGGCTGCTGGTGCTGAATGGTGGGACTTCTCCTAGACCGTGAGTGGGGTCTGGTGGCAGCCCAGCGGAAAGGCTGTGAGCCCCTTGCACGAAGTGCCTGGCTTAAGTGGAAATTTGCTACTGCTGCTGCTAATTTAAAAGCAGGCAAGTGACAGTGTGCAACTAAGTATGTATGGTGAGTTGGAGTTTGAAAGGTCTTGATCAGGTACCCAGGTACTACAGTGTTAGGCATGGTGTGCAAGGCTGGAATAAGCAGAAAATGTCCAGAGGGAACTTCATGCACACGTAAGCCTGAACAGAGCACAGACCTGAGCACAGTCCTGAGGCATGTAAGGTGCTGATGTGTGACTGCTGTCTGGTTTGGAAAATTCAGACTGTGCTGAAAGAGGCCTGGGTAGGTTCCAGCACCAGGTGAGACACAGCTGCATCGTGTGGCTGCGCAAGAGGAGCCGACAACTGCTGGGGACCGGATGGCTCCCAGTGCTGGGGTTTGGATGTATTGTCCTCTTCCTCCAGACTGTAGACCTCAAGCCTGTCACAGTCACACTGGGGCTAGTGGCATTAGCTGAGGCTCCCTAGATCTGTTAGTAGTAGAGCTGATGACTGAAGGGACTGCTCAGACTACAGCCTGCTGGCTGCTGGAGGCTGGATGTCTGTGTTGCATCCCTCTTGGCAAGCTGAGGGCATCTGATCTTGTCCTGGGAGAAGGGTCTGATCACCAGCTCTGTTTTCTGCAAAAGCAGGAGCAAAACCTGTGCTCCTTCAGCCTGGTGGCAGGGCTGTAGTGCCTCAGCCACCAGCCACAACCACGTTGTAGGTGCTCCACACACACTGCACTGCCTTTGCCTTTGCAGCGCAAGGACTGGGCTCACCTCTGGGTCTGTCTGTTGGTCTGTCTGTTCACACTTGTGCAAATACCTCAGCGTAGGTGTACTAGTTCACCTGCAGCTGCTGTTCTCCCACTGAAGCCACTGGGACTCATTAATTTCTGGGATTTTTTTGGCTCGAAGTTAAAAGGAGTAACTTGGCATCCATCAGACTTAGCCTGAAGTAAAACCCTTGGTGCTGGCAAGCCATGAGACAAACTGTGAGATAAAGGCTGTTCCAGGCAATGAGCTTTTTTCCCTGCTGTGAGCTAAGATGCAGACTTATTTCTGATTCTAGACTGACAGCGCGTGGCAGTGATAAAAGTTACTACTCACTCCTGGACGCCTTTACTCAAAAATCCTCGGGCTGTGGAGCGGGGGAAGACTACTCATGTGCCAAAGAAGGGCTGACAATGTTGTTTCATTTACCCGTGGGTTCAGTTTCACAGCTGATGCCAGCTGGTTTCTGGCAATACTGCTGCCACCAAAATCGACAGAACTGAACCAGGCTGCGGATTTGACAGAAAAATAACATTGAAAGAAAAATTATAGTTTTCAGGCTACTTCCTTTGACTTGTTGTGCTCATCACCTCTGAGATGGGGGAGGTGATGGGAGTGGGTTGCCAGCCTGGGGAGTAGGGTGGAAGTGCAGCTTTTGGCAGCAACCTCCTCCTCCGTCTGTTAAAACCCACTGAAAAGCTACCCTGAGAACCAAGTTTACTGTTCTTTGAGATTGAGATGGGCCCTGGAGGATCTGCTCTCATGTGTAACCAGGCAGTTTTAAATACCCTAGCAGCAATTAGAGCAACTAACTGGGTCACGTAATATTTGGATGCGATAAATTGACTTAAGTGTTTTCCATTTCTTATGCCACAGCATTTGAAACAAAAGCCACTAAGAAAAATTTTAAAATAATATTTTCCATTGTTTTAAGATTTCTGGCTCTTACACACATGAACAATTTTTCTAACCACTGAATATTTAAGACTAAAATGAAGCAGAGCTTTTATAGTGAGACAAGTCGATCTTTGTCATCAACTTGACTTGATTACTCACAAGTCCTTTTCACCAACACTCATGCAAATTACCAGGTTTTAGCTCCTGAAGCTGCTAAAGGAATGTTTAGGAAACGGATGGGAATTAGGCAGTCTTTGTTACCAAACCGTCATCATACCAGAGTTACTTAGTCTGTTTTGTATTTGAAAGTGAAATGTAACTCCTGCAAGGGTTTTGGTGGGAACTCAGACATTTCATTCTGAATGAGATTTGTGTTAAGAAATCTGCTGCTTTAGCAGCCCTATTATATATACAAGCCATCTCCTTGGATCGGAGTCCTGAGTGTAAATGCCAAATAGCTAGGACTTCTAATACTTGCTGCACATCTGCCTTAAAGCAGTGCTTTATGTTCCAGGTTTTCATAAAACAGTTCGAGTTGGAAAGGTCTTTTAGAGGTCATCTAGTCCAACCCCCCTGCAGTGAGCAGGGACATCTTCAACCAGATCAGATTGCTCCGAGTCCTGTCCACCCTGGCCTTGAGTGTTTCCAGGGATGGGGCATCTACCACCTCTCTGGGCAACCTCTTCCAGCATTTCACCACACCCATCGTAAAAAATTTCTTCCTTATATCCAGTCTGGATCTACCGTCTTTTAGTTTAAAACTGTTACCCCTTGTCTTATCACAACAGACTCTGCTAAAAGGTTCATCCCCATCTTTCTTATAAGCCCCCTTTAAGTACTGAAAGGCCACAATAAGGTCTCCCTGGAGCCTTCTCTTCTCCAGGCTGAACAGCCCCAACTCTCTCAGCCTTTCTTCATAGGAGAGGTGTACCAGCACTCTGATAATTTTTGTGGCCCTCCTCTGGTCCCGTTCCAACAGGTCCATGTCTTTGCTGTGCTGAGGGCTCCAGAGCTGGAGGCAGGACTCCAGGTGGGATCTCAGCAGAGCAGAGGGGCAGAATCCCCTCCCTCGACCTGCTGGCCACGCTTCTTTTGATGCAGCCCAGGATATGGTTGGCTTTTCTGTGCTGTGAGCACACATTGTCGGCTCATGTCCAACTTTTCATACACCAGTACCCCCAAGTCGTTCTCAGCAGGGCTGCTCTCAATCCTTTCATCCCCCAGCCTGTGCTGATACCAGAGGTTGCCCCAACCCAGGTGCAGGACCTTGCACTTGGCCTTGTTGAACCTCATGAAATTCACACGGGCCCACTTCTCGAGCTTGTCCAGGTCCCTCAAATGGCATCCTGTCCCTCAGTGATGTCAACCACACCACACAGCTTGGTGTCATCTGTAAACTTGCTGAGGGTGCTCTCGATCCCACTATCGATGTCACTTATGAAGATATTAAACAGTACTGTCCCAGTATGAACCCCTGAGGGACACCACTTGTCACCGGTCTCCATCTGGACATTGAGCCGTTGACCATCCAGCCAATTCCTTACGCACCAAACAGTCCATCCATCAAATCCATATCTCTCCAATTTAGAGAGAAGAATGTTGTGGGGGAACATGACATCTACCTGGACTTCTGTGAGGCCTTTGACATCAGTGGCTCTGCCCTTGTCCACTGATGTCCATCATAGAAGGCCACTAGGTTGGTCAGGCAGGATTTGCCCTTGGTGAAGCCGTACGGACTGTCTCAAATCACCTCCCTGTTTTCCATGTGGCTTAGCATGGAAAGGATCTGTTCCATGATCTTCCCATTCATGGGGTCAGGCAGGATTTGCCCTTGGTGAAGCCGTACGGACTGTCTCAAATCACCTCCCTGTTTTCCATGTGGCTTAGCATGGAAAGGATCTGTTCCATGATCTTCCCATTCATGGGGGTGAGGCTGACAAGTCGGTAGTTCCCAGGGTCCTCCTTCCTACCCTTTTTAAAAATGGGTGCAATGTTTCCCTTTTTCCAGTCACCAGGGACTTCACCTGAGTGCCGTGACTTTTCAAATATCATGCAGAGTGGCTTGGCAACTACTTTAGTCAATTCCCTCAGGACTCGGATGCATCTCATCAGGTCCCATAGACTTCTGTATGATCAGGTTCCTCAGGTGGTCATGAGCCTGATTGTCTCTTACTATGGGAGTGACTTTGCTCCCCCGGTCCCTGCCTTGAGGTCCATCCACTCAAGAGGTG